AATAAAGAAAGAAAAATTTGTTACTCTGATGGAAATAATGCAACAGTCACAAATTTTCTTTTAATAAATGCAATCTTAAAATGCTACTCGAACAGATTAAATAGTAAAATAAAGAAAGACGTTAAATACTTTTGCTTAAAAAATTTCCCTCTTTTTGAGTTATTTGATTACAAATGTTATTACGTTTAATTTCATTAAAAATTATCGTTTTTACTGTCTATGATCGACGAGTAGCTTGACAAATACCAAATAACTATCATTTTACAATGTGTATTTTGTAACATTCAACGAAAGCAAACACCCAAGTCAACAGCATTATCAAAATATTTCGGATAATAATTTCTCAATTTATTCTTATTTTTTCATATATGGTTTCATTTGTTGCTATATATAAACTGATTTAACTAAAATTTATCTGTCTTTACTATTAATTTTTAATTTCATTATTATATGTAGCAATTTCTGGTTCTAAGGGACCAGAATTACGCACATTCTCTATTTCCCCATTTCCTTATTCCCCTATCTCTAACTTCCTTGATATTATGTGCTCGTAACATTTTGTGACACCTTTAATATTACCGAAAGCTTTATGTTTCGTTAAGAATTTCATTCTTTCCAAGAGATATTTTCATACAAATTCTACTAAAGTTAAAGCTAATTCTAGATAGAAGTTAAGAGAGAAAGGGAAAATAGGTTACAAGACACAATGAACGAGCAACATAATTACTATATCGCGCGAATCTTGATTTCGAAATTAATTCGCCTACTATCCTTATAATCTTTCATTCCGCGGCAATTTCGAAATTTAACGAGTTATCCGACTTTAATCTTTTAAGAAGAATTCTCTAGACTCCTGGCTAAAGTTAGTGAACTCGTTCTTCTTCTGAGATGGATCTTAAATCTCCTGACTACTTTAGTCAGCAACCAAGAGATTTTGTATTTTGTTGAGAAGGAATTTTACAATAATGCTTATAAGTCTCTTCCAATGGGAGCATAAGAAAGCTATTTATGCAAACTATTTTGATTTCAAATACGTATTTTTATTACAACAGCGGGCAAGTGAAATGTTCTCAGTTTTAGGAAACCCATTATATTCTAATCTATTATCTATAATATAGCAGACTGCAAATGTTTATGAAAATTTGTATTTTTCTGAATACAATTAAAGAAGTAATATTATATAGGGAACTGAGGTGGAATGGTGTAATAGGCACTGAAGTACACTCGGTGACGTTTAACCACTAACGTTTATTAAACAAATAACAACAACGTACAGTCTGCAATTAACATCGGATGATTGTTAACGTCGATACGCAGTAGCGTCGCTCGGCCGGTTTCTCGGTAAAAACGTGGCCGTTTCTTTCGACTTTCTCGTCGCGCGATTCGGGGCCCAATGTCTTATTTTTTCGACCGAACTGACTCTTTCCGTTGCCCATCGGTATCCCCCCTGGCGTGCGTTTGTTCCAGTGCCTTCGTGGCTGTCGCCTGCATGCCCTTCGGAGAAATTCGGCTGGAGGAGCGTGAGGATACCGATGGCAGATTGAGTGCGTCATGTCACGTTTTGTGTCGCGGAGCCGTTAGAAAGTTCCGTAGTCCTTGTCGCCACAGTACCCCCTTACCAGTGATTCCATAGTCTATATAAAGGAATATATGGGTATTACGGCGTAGTGTGCGCGTTGGCCGGTTCTTAACGCTTATCTGAAACCTGCCTGAAATCGATCGGGAAATCGGATTCTTCTCCCAGACTGCGTAACGTATCTATTCCGGGTATTTTCTCCGTTTGTCGTTTGGTTATTGGCGTTCGCCCTGCTTTCGTCGTGGGCATTCGTTTGGTCTGCCGGAATTAGCACGTTGCGAGTCTCGGCGGACCTTTGTTCGAGGTCTTCGGGAATGACAAACGCAGGCTTCAAGCGGTCTATGGAGACCATTACATCGCGATTATTTATTTTTACCGTGTATGTCTTGTCGCCTCTCTGTATGACTTTATACGGTCCATCGTACGGTGGCTGTAACGGTCCTCCGATCGCGTCGTGGCGCACGAATACGTATGGCGACGCCTCTAATTCCTTGAAGACGAAAATTTTCTTTTCGCCGTGGCGAGTAATCGGGAGTGGTCTGACCCTCTCCATGCGTTCTCTCAGCCGGTTCGCGTATTCCGAGTTGGCCCGTTGACAGGTTGGCAAAAGGAATTCCGCCGGCAGACGTATGCCGGTGCCGTAAATCATTTCGGCCGCCGTTGCGTTTAGGTCCTCCTTTATCGCGGTTCTTATGCCTAATAAGACGATCGGGAGAATTCCGACCCAGTTGCTCGTGTCGTGACATTTGATCGCCGCCTTCAGTTGTCTGTGTAGGCGTTCTACCATCCCGTTAGACGCTGGATGGTAGGCCGTTGTACGCAAATGTTTGACGCCGAGCAACCGGCATAATTCCTCGAATAAACGCGATTCGAATTGGCGTCCTTGATCAGTCGTAATTTTCAAGGGTACGCCGAAACGAGATATCCAGGTAGCAAGGAGGGCCGAAGCCACGGTTGACGCTTCCATATCGGCGATAGGTATGGCTTCGGGCCAACGCGAAAAACGATCGATACACGTAAGGCAATGACGGTATCCTTGCGAATATTGCATTGTGATGATATCTACGTGTATATGCTCGAACCGGCCCGCTAGCGTTCCGAACGTTCCGACGGGCGAGGATACGTGTCTGGTGACTTTGTTGCGCTGACACGGTATGCATTGTCGTGTCCACGTTCGGCAATCTTTATTTACCGACGGCCAGACGAAGCGCGTCGCTACCAATTTTCGCGTAGCTCGCATCCCCGGGTGGGAAAGTCCATGTAGCGCTTGGAATACGGTGCGGCGTAACGGTTCCGGTACATACGGTCGCACGGTCTCGGTTTTAATATCGCAGTATAACTCGACGTTGTGATCGGGAAATCGTACTTTTCTCAGCTGCAACGCGCTCGAGCCCGCGTTGATAATCTTGCGTAGCTCGCTATCCTTTTCTTGCGCTGCGGCTAGCGTGTGGTGATCTATTGGTTTTCCTATAGCTTCGATGCGAGATAGAGTGTCGGCTACGTTATTTTCTACCCCTTTTATGTGACGGATATCCGTCGTAAACTGACCGACGTAGTCTAGATGTCGAAACTGTCTCGGCGAACACTTGTCGAGGTTCTGCTACTAGCGTGTGGTGATCTATTGGTTTTCCGATCGCTTCGATGCGAGGTAGAGTACCGGCTACGTTATTTTCTACCCCTTTTATGTGACGGATATCCGTCGTAAACTGACCGACGTAGTCTAGATGTCGAAACTGTCTCGGCGAACACTTGTCGAGGTTCTGCTTGAACGCGTAGATTAGGGGTTTATGGTCTGTGTAGATCGCGAATTCTCTGCCTTCGACGGCATGTCGGAAGCGTTTAACCGCGTAGTACATCGCCAGCAATTCCCGATCATACGCGCTGTATTTTCGTTGCGCAGGGGATAGCATTTTTGTCATGAAGCCTAGTGGCTGCCATGAATCGTTGACGCGTTGCTGAAATACCGCGCCAATAGCGTAGTCGGATGCGTCGACCGCGAGGCTGACGGGCGCGCCGGGGATCGGGTGCGCTAACATTGTCGCGTCGGCCAGTACGCGTTTCGACTCGCGGAAGCTTTTTTTTGCATGCTCGGACCACTCAATAGACGCGTTACGCTTAGTTGCGCCTTTCAATAAGTCATTGAGTGGTCGGAGGGTGTGCGCGGCCCTCGGTATGAAACGTCTGTAAAAGTTAATCATACCGAGGTATCTTCGAAGGTCTTTAACGGTCGCCGGTAGCGGTACTTTAGCGATAGCGTCCACGCGTTCAGCCAGCGGCTTTATCCCTTCGGCGGTTACGGTATAACCGAGGAATTGGATTTCGCGAACGCCGAATTCGCACTTCGCGGTATTAATGACAACCCCGTAGTCGTTGAGGCGTTGAAACAGGACCCGCAAGTGTTCGCGATGTTGCTCGGCGTTCTCGGAGGCTACGAGGAAATCGTCTATGTATGCGTAGACGAAATCGAGGCCCCGCACGATTTCGTCTACGAATCTTTGGCACGTTTGCGCGGCGTTCCGCAGCCCGAACATCATGTTGGTCGCTTCGAACAGCCCGAAAGGTGTTGTTATGGCTGTTTTTTCGACGTCCTCCGGCGCGATCGGAATTTGGTGGTAAGCGCGGACGAGGTCGATTTTGGAGAAGATGCGCTTACCATGTAAATTCTGTGCGAAATCTTCTATATGTGGCGGTATATATCTGTCCGGGATGGTGCGGGCGTTCAACGCCCGATAGTCGCCGCACGGTCGGATGCCACCGTCCTTTTTTGGAACGACGTGTAAGGGTGATGCCCATGGGCTTCTCGATGGCTGCATCACGCCTTGCTCGATCATGGCTTCGAACTCCATCTTGACTTGCTGAAGCCGATCCGGCGCGAGTCGGCGGGGTTTGCTATGGATAGGCGGGCCTGATGTGGTTTCGATGTGGTGCACCACACCGTGTCGAATTTTCTCTCGTCCGAAAGCCGGTGGGCGAGTTAGATCCGGGAATTCAGCGAGGAGTCGGTGATACGTCGATTCGCCGATAATCGTCTTGATCGACGCCGTCTGAGTCGCGGCCGTATATCCTCTCGTCGATCGGTTCGAAAGAGAGTCTATAAGACGTCTGTTTCTCGCGTCCACCCACAATTCATAGTGGCTGAGGAAATCCACACCGATGATGGGTGTCTCGACGTCCGCTACAATGAAATGCCACTTCATAGCCCGACGCAGTGCCAGGTCGAGAGACACTAGAGTGGTGCCGTATGTCGCGATGCGTGACCCGTTAGCCGCGAACAATTCGTACGTGTCTTTTTTCACGGGCCCGTGCATTTTGTTGCGCGGAAATACACATACGTCGGCGCCAGTGTCCACTAGAAAGGAGATTTTTGAGCTCCTATCTCTCACAAATATGCGGCGGGATGTTAGGCCGTCGTCGCTTGCCGCGTTTACGGACGGCCGGTTTCGTTTCCCTGCATCCATGTGCATGGTGGACGGCACTTCTTCGCCCGCGCTCGGAACGTCGCATGGTAGTAACAAAGACCGGAGTCCTGTGGCTCTTCTCTCGGGCGCGGTCCGTACCGTCTCGTGTTTAGCCGTTGGTAGCGGCGCCGGTCGAGGCGCAGTGCCTCGATTTGTGCCTCTATTCTGGAGAGCCTGTCGTCGTCTGTCGATTCTGAGGGGCGATCTCGCCGTTCGTCTCCGGTTCTCTCTGTCTCGATAACGGCGACCCTCTGTCTCCTCAACGAGTGTGTCTCGTAAATTCGATCGGCTGCTCGCGTCAACTTTTCTGCGTCCGTTTCGTCCACCGCGGCCAGGGCGGTGTCTATGTATTCCGGGAGTCGCTCCCTCCAGAGTGTGAGGAGGAATTCGTCCGGCGTGGAGGAACCGGCTAATCTTCTTAGGTGTTGATAGAGTTGGGACGGCTTTTGGTCGCCCATCTCTTCGAAAATCAGCAGTTTGCGTGTCTTCGTGCTGGCTGTATCAGCCAACTCTTGAATGATCGTGCTTTTTAATTTATCGTATTGTTCCGCCTCTGGTATCCTCTTCCTCACGTCCTCGATATGCGACATGTACCGACCGCCGAGGCACCTGGCGAGGGTCACGAACTTTCGCTTGTCGTCCGTAAGATCCATGTCCTCGAACTGTATTTCCAGGAGCGTAAACCACGCCGTGACCTCCGAAGGCTGCAGCGGAGGCATATTAATTATTTGGTAGGCTCGTGCGCAGTTCGCGGTCCCGTCGGTGTTTGCCATCGTGCGGCAATTTCAATTCGCAGCGTTTAGAGTCTCAGTACAACTATCACAGTCACCTCTTAAACTTTCACTCACGTCGAGGTCACCAATTTGAGGTGAAATGGTGTGCTAGGCACTGAAGTACACTCGGTGACGTTTAACCACTAACGTTTATTAAACAAATAACAACAACGTACAGTCTGCAATTAACATCGGTTAATTGTTAACGTCGATACGCAATAGCGTCGCTCGGTCGGTTTCTCGGTGAAAACGTGGCCGTTTCTTTCGACTTTCTCGTCACGCGGTTCGGGGCCGAATGTCTTATTTTTTCGAACAAATAACAACAACAACATACAGTCTGCAATTAACATCGGTTAATTGTTAACGTCGATACGCAATAGCGTCGCTCGGTCGGTTTCTCGGTGAAAACGTGGCCGTTTCTTTCGACTTTCTCGTCACGCGGTTCGGAGCCGAATGTGCTTATTTTTTTCGACTGAACTGACTCTTTCCGTTGCCCATCGGTATCCCCCCTGGCGTGCGTTTGTTTCAGTGCCTTCGTGGCTGTCGCCTGCATGCCCTTCGGAGAAATTCGGCTGGAGGAGCGTGAGGATACCGATGGCAGATTGAGTGCGTCATGTCACGTTTTGTGTCGCGGAGCCGTTAGAAAGTTCCGTAGTCCTTGTCGCCACAAATCTTTCTTCTACCTTTTCCCACTATTTCTGTACATTATGTATATTTTTACAAAGTATTATTGATAGTATAGTATCGTGAACTATTATGATTAATTTACAATGAATGGATTGTACAGACGTTGATTGAACAGAAAACGATGGTTGTTTAACGTGAACTAAACACATTAACGTACTATAATTTAGACAACTCAATAGTTAATTTGCAACTCTCGTCACCACAGACCTCTCTCTCTCTCTCTCTCTCACGCGGACAACACTCTCTCGACAACACTAGCAACACTATCTTGACAACGCAACTCGCACTCCCTCGTTTCTCGATTCACACTCTCTGGCTTCTCCACTGACACTGGCTGTTAATTCGTCTTTCTCCCTTAGCATCCCTTTGTCTTTTCTTAGCCCCACCACGCACGTGTTCCGCATCCGCTCGTGGCCAGGGTCATGTCACGTAAACTTGAGGGTTATATGATGAAAACAAGACAGCTGAGCCGTAACACAACTGTTAACTTTGTTTTTTATTAAACTTTATTTTTCACTTAATATTCACAATTGAGTATACACTGATCAAGTACGCGACTGGTCTAAGAGTAGAAACCGGTAAAGATATGTTGACTATTCTAAGGATACAGAATAAGTAAGTCTTACTGACAATACTGTGTCTGAGGAAAACTAGGGGTGGATGTGTCTAAGGACACGGGCTATCGGATTTGTTGATGACAATTTTGGTTAGGAAAGTGAGGGCAGTAGACACCGCTTCCGATTGGATAATAAGAAGGTTGGTGGACCAGGAAGGGTTTTAGCCGCCCTCGAGACAAAGTTGTTAACGGAAGATACCGAACGTGAGAAAAACTAACTTTCCCGTGTTAACCCGTAGTAAACAATAAAAAGAGCAATAAATGTAAAGGGGCACTTAAAATAAAAGATACTTGTTTGATCTGAAGGACCTTAACAATGAAAAATGTCAAGACCCATGGCGGGTCCTTAAGACTATTGAGGGTACGCGCCAAGGATGTGTAGACATCTGACTACTATCCTATCTGCGGTGTGTAGCCTGGTCTCTGATGTGGATTGATGTTACAGTCACGTAGGCTTTTTCTACGAAACTATTCAATTTAAGGACCGACGATATCTCTTAGGTCTTTTGCCCACGATACTACAATAGTTAGTATTCTGTACATTTTTACACGTTTAAATTTCTCATAAATATATAAAAATCGGTAGTGTATCTATAAAAATAAAATGAACTTCAATAGAATACTATTTCAATCAGTCTTTCAAGGAATATCCTTCGAAAATGTTTAAGTAACAAAATTTTGGTATTTTTATAGCGTAATATAATATTTATATGTCGGAGATAAGAGGACACCGGTGCCTTCCCTCTGGAACCTCGGGAAAATCCATAAAAACATTGTAATTAAAATCTACAGTTGTAATTAAACGATTTGCCGTCATTCTACCCAATTGTATTTGTTTGAGACTTGTGACAATGAGCCATTCCATATTTTCGACTTTTTTTCGCGTAGAACCACCCCCTTTCCGCTTGTACCACCAGTTGCCAACCACCCTGTATATAGTTTATAACTTATAGATTGAAAGATGATTATATATAACGATTATAAATTTATAACGGAATGCCGAATTTGAAGAAATGTTATTCTTATCTAAATATTTCAACTTCAGTAATTCAAGAGAAACTTACAGTAAGATTTCCTTTCAATAAAACGACGGTGGATCTGATAAAGGTCGATGTAATGTACGGACCCGCTGTCTCCGGTAGTTCATTGACCTGGACGCGAACATTGTGTGTTAATATAACTGCGATTATCAGCCACAGTGTACGAATAATTGGACGAGAGGAACTGAAGTTTACACTCGTTTAAATGCGATAATAACGAGACACTTGTATTTTAATGAAAACAAGAAGCGCAATCGAATACAGCACAATGTATGTAATTCGTTGTTTGTAATATGTTTGATGCCTGTGATCGGCTGCTAGCAGATGTATTTTCAATGGATGTTACAGTATGTCTCAACTATCTGGTTACGAAAGCCAGAAACTGTCTCTGCTAGAAGACTAGAATGTATATTTCCCCAGTAAGCTGGAATGTATGTCCTCCGAGGAGGCTGGAATGTGTCTTGACGAAGGTTAGAAAGCATCTGCCTGCTGGCACATGCGCTGATTCATTGTCGCCAAAAAATTAATTTTCCAATCAACGACCCGAATGCCACGGCCACCCTTCCATGCGTCTTTGGCGTGCCTTTTCGTGGTAAGGGTGTACTGGTCTGGTGTCTGGTAAGGGTACTGGAATACACGTGAGGTGTTCGATTTTCTTAAAGGGTCGTGCTACAAGTCAGAAACCTCGGCAACTTGTACCGTCACTGTACGAAACCACGTTTCAAAGTACCCTACGGCGATATCGAGTTACTAAACACGTTCTTGACGATTGAGTGCGAAATAAGCTAAAGATCTTAAATTCAAATATTCATGCCCCCCTAACAAATCTTAAGATTCGAACTGAAAAACAGCCCTCTTTACGATCGTGTTATAAACTTTGAATGTTCTGGATGAAACAAATAGAAATAACTTAACTTGAAATTCAACCCCATCCGTCTTATTGATCGGATCGTCAAACTGTCATTTGTTGTATTAGTTACAAAACTTTTGATGCCATGAAACCAATATGTTACAGCCGCACAAAAAATACGTAGAAGATCATAGCGTTGAAGGAAATGAAACATTTTTAGAAAAATGAAACAATTTGATGAATAATAGAAATCATCGCGTTATACTAATATATACTATAAAAGGTGCTAGTTCTGTGAAAATATTTCTGTGTTTAAATATTTTCAAACGCTACGAGTATTCCGAATAATCCAAAATCTACCTTTCCCTTTTATTCCAACGTGGACTCAACGCTGTAAAATTGTGATATCTGTAAGTAGTTATAAATTGATATGGGACTGTCTAATTAATGTTTGTTTAGCTTTTCCTTGTTGATCAGCTTTTTCCTTTTTCCAAGTTCCAGAGCACTCTTGCATAATAATTTATTAACTAATACCATTAGTAGCTTGGCAAATTACAAATTATGGATTATAAACATCCTTTTCATAATTTCACAATTTTACACCAAATAAGACAATTAGTTGTCCTATTATTTATAAAAACTACATGTATGTATAGTTTCACTAATTCTATTACCAAGCTCGTTGCTGTTGGAAAATGGAGATTATTCATGACATTGATTATGACTCGTAACTTTACACTAATAATATTAGTTAATCGTGCAAGATTAACTTATTATTGTATCATATTTTATAGGCAACACGTCCAGGAACACAAATACATAGTTCAAAACTAAAGCTCAAAATTCATCAGGTTTTATCATTAGAAATTGATTTTGAATGAGAAACATCGCTATGATTATAAATCTGTTGTATCATTATCTGCATACATACGATTATAATATCATACATAATATACAATAATGTCATCTATTTAATATAACTATAATTTAATTACAGTTGAGAGGACATTGTTGCATGCACATCACGGTTCAAGGAATTAAGATTCGCTCTTGCGTGTTAATTGATTTATCGAAAATTCATGCGAAAGCCAGGCTTTGGCCGCATTTTGTCAGTTTCTGACTTTAGGATAAGCCAGTTTCCACGAAATTAGAAATATATGCGACAATCTCGCGCATTGCACGCTTGACGAGCAACAGGGTGCTGCTGCCGGTCGTATGCAAAATTTAGGTACGCATTGTAATTCTATTCACCCTATTTACAGTTTCCAGCCACTTGGCTCGCAAATTTCTAAAAACATTTACAAGAGACAGTTTACTGCAATTTTAAAAATTCGTGTTACAGTAGGTTGATATATTAATAAATGTTCTTATTAGATGTTACACAGTCGCATAATAGTCGTATACGTATGGCAGTAAATAAAATTAACTTCAAGAGATTAAAAAGTGTTATGATTAGACTGAGAATTAGATTAGAGCGTAGATTAGAGCTCTTAAATTGTATTATATTTGCGTGACAGAGAAAGATGGTATCTCTAACTTCATGGGCAAACTATGAATCTAATTTATTTATATTCAAAAATTCTCAGTCCCTTGCCACATCACAACTACAAAATTTATAACTCATATTCAGTAAATAAATTTGCAGTTATTTTACGATCTTCCCTTTTTATGTATATTTTACAATAGTGATATTTATCACTCATATTTATTTTTAGTTTAATTGACTTCATTTTATTGACAAAAGACATCTATAATCTTTGTTACTACTTTCGCATCTCAGTCTTCTGTCTTCTGTTTTTAAATCATT